AAGACTGGAAAAGAATAAATTTGACAATAACAATAAATTATCAAAAATCTGTATTTACTTGAATGAAGAGAATCCGAGTGTAAGGAACAACTTTGTGAACAGAAAATAATCAACAACATGAGATCTCTCAATTCATCGTACTTTCTCGATTGGATATTTGCAATTCGAAGAAAAATCGATATCTCGGTGGTGAAATGTTGCTTATAAAAAAAAACATCTGTTGAAACAAAGAGTGCATAGCTGACATTCCAAGGAGATTTTCATCATTCACTAGATAGAATGTTTAAGCATCAACTAATGAGAAGAACATCTCTTTCATCAAATTCAATCGATCATTTCAAGTATTAAATTAGTCAAATTCAACCTTAATGATGACGATAGGAGATGAAGGTATGCAATTCTTGATGGATTATGGTGTGAATTGAAATTTCTTCGTCTATCAAGTAATGAAAGTATTAGTAATTGAAATGTCAATATAATGATTCGAATGTTGAAATAGAATTAGACATTGATGGACTCGGATATTCTATCGGTTTCATCTTTCCAAACATGGAATAACAGGACTTTTCTACAGTGGAATTTGTTCAAACGAAGATTAATGACAATTTCAGATGGATTTGAAAAATCATTAAAAACATCTTGTCGGTCAAAATAGATTCGGTAAAGATATTAATTTGATGAAGTATAAGATGATTAATACATTTTCTCATCTTCATTCTCAAGAGGTAACCATAGAAGAAGAAAATTAGATTTATTTGTCATCATGATCTCGTTTGAAGGAATTATACTCACCTTCACCCTCAAAATGGTATGAATGAAGTACATTTTTCTTTTTAGACTTTATTAGGTCGGATCAAGCGCAAACACGCTCGATCCAGGAGAAAAATAATCCACAGGCATCAGCACACGCACTATCAAAATACCTCTGTCAGAGGATTTTCGTTTTTTTTGCTCAATGAAATCTCTGTGGTTTTACTATGCTAGTAGACAGTATACAAACAATCTCTAATAGTCATATGACAAGCAAATATTGCACGGCAACGGTTCTCATCGTGATGTAATGATGACTCAATTCTCTTCTTTTCTGTCAGATGATGATGAAACTTTGTTTTTTTTTATTCATCCTAGTCAAAAAAAACCAAGTTAGAGTTAGAGAATACTAGAAGATGAATAATCAAAGGTAAGACAGAACTGACGAAAGTGTCGGTTGAAAAAGGCGCGAAAAGAAACTACATACAAAAACATTTTATTTGATCTGAAGAAGAATAAAAGCAATGTTAAAATACAAATTTCATCAGTTACCATTGGATGATGTCAATTCAATCGATATCATCTCTTCTTACACTTCCAGTGGAGGTTCTCTATGGCATTTTGGGCCAACTTGATGCAGAAGATATTGTTTTTTTCATTTCGTTATGTTTATAGATGGTTTTATGCGATGACCAATACCTATAATCGATATACAATGAAAATAACAAGTGAATCACAGAAAACCGATATCAATCTTATCTGTCGAATAGTTCCATTCGAAAATTTCATTTCATTGGTCATTCGAATCACTTGTGATATGTCAACTTCTTTTCTATCATCTCTTTCATCGATCCATATCGATTACTTCACTCGACTTCGTTCGTTGAGAATTTATTGCAACAACGAATGGAACCTGAACAACTTCTTGTCTTCTATTCCTTCCATCTTTACTCTCACTTCACTATCACTGATTATGAAGAACAATAATCCGTTGCAAGATGCGACAATTGTTCGTCTTTCTTCGATTATCGGACCGTCAAAATTTCATCAGCTCATTTTGTGTGTTGATATATCTACAATGAATAAAATAAATTGGTCAAATTTATTTCAACTCCATCGATTATTTATTAGAGAGTGTTTTTATCAACAATTTTGTTCTATTCTTTATCATTTATCAAACCTTCAAACATTTTCATTGAGTGATTGTTATACCAATGAAACTATTCAAAACCAGATCTTCGATTGACTTCGTTGACATTGAGAAATGCAAGTATGTCAATTGATCAACTTGAATTCCTTCTTTTGCTGACACCCTCACTTGTTCATCCCGATCTAAAGACTAATCGACAAGTGTCATTCAATTTCCTCCAACGTTTCTCTCAATGGGAAATATTTCTTTGTCAAAAACTTCGTTTACTTGAAAAATTTAAGTTTGTTATTAATATTTGTGAGTATCAATTTGAAGCTATTGAATCGATTCTCACTGCTTTTCGTACACCATTCTGGTTAGAGGATAAACGTTGGTTTATCACTTGTCAATCAATTGCCGATAATGTATCAAATTCTGGTCTTATTCTCTATTCATCCGAAGGAACATGGACCGAATTTCCTTTCAATACTCGAGAAAATATTTTATCATACTTTACTTTTACTAGAAAAGATGATAATGCAGCAAATATGAGCAGTAAATGGTATGTTCGTTCCGATTTGGCTCGAATGGTAGCAGCGGTTTGTTCAAAAAAGGTATTTGTAATCGTTTCAATGACACTTCATTTTATCTATTTTTTAAGTTATATACCGATTTCTTTCCGTAGAAAGTTCTCTCTCTCTCTCTCTGATCATTGGATAGGAATCTACGTCTTAAGTGGAAAGAATGATGCATGATTTTGACAACTTCTCATAGCTATTAAGTAAAAATGATTCGCAAACATCAAAGAGTGAAAAGGCAGAAATAATCTTAGTCTATCCGAATCTTCAGGAACATAGTTTTGGTAGGAATCAGATTGAACTGAATCAAAACATGAAAACACTGCATTTCTATCTGTTATTTTAGTTTCTACCACCAATTCACCAGATTCGTCATATCTCTCAACTGGCAGTAAACATCGGTGGTAAATGGTGGTCTCATGCATTCGACTGTCTTCCGTTACTTATCGATCTTTCACAACTTGATGAAATCTGGTTGTTCGTCTCAAAAAATCGTCCTTTTTGCATTCGCACGATCAATATTTTGCTCAAACAAGGATGCAATGTTCGTATTCTCGGTCTATTCTATGATGATGATTTGGCGTCATTTATGGACGAAATATGTTCTATAGTATCCTTTCAAATAGATCATTGAAAACTAAAAACGAAGAGTATTGACAGTAAGAAATTAGTTCTCGAACGTGTCAATCATTTGACCAGTGTCACATTTGTACAACATCCAAGGTCATCAAATTTCTTCATGGAAATGACTCAACGGCTTATTGAAAAAGAACGACAGTTTACCATAAGTGACAATCATCAATCACTTCAGATAACGTTCGAGAAGAATACCGATAAGCCAGCAGAAATGAAAACTGGTCACAAGCGTATGAAGTTGACTCATTATCAGTATAATTCCTAATCTTTTCGGATGTTGTTTGGAATTTTTTCGATGTTTATTTAATCTCGAGTACTCAATAAACAAGTATTCCTGAATAGGTATTCATTATTAACAGTCAGTTTCATCTAAAAAAGCTATCATTCTCACCTGAATCCTCACCCTCAAATCTAATTTGCGCAATTATACATAAAAATCATAAAAAATGTTCTACTCGACATGTTTCTATTTATTAATGAAATTTAAAAAATTGATGTTGGACATCTTAATAGCTCACTATGGTTTACAAATCCTGAAAGTTTCATCGATTTGAAAATACTTGTGTATTTTGTGGTTGAGTTCCCATGGAATATCTCTAATGTGGGTGTGGGTGTGGATCGTCTCTCAATCTACACCCACACTCAACTTTGCCCATTTCTCCCATCGGTTTTTTTCGATACAAGAGAAGTTTCCACATTGGCCTAAAAATCCTGATTACACCGCTGTTCGAAAATCATTTTCGATGTCAATGCAGAAGAAGTCATTGGTGCATACATTACAGTATAAATAAGTGAAAATGAATATTCTGTCTAATCAAAAAAAAATAGATACATGGTATGTTTTCTTAATGTAAACAAAAATGAGAGTTTAAAAAAAAGAAAGAAAATTATTCTGTATGTTTATGCCTAATTAAAAACGACTTAGTAAAAAAAACTATTTCGAACTAATACGTGAGAATCTCTGTGTAATAAAAATATTTTTGTTAAATTTTTTATTTCCTTGTTGTTTTTTTTACTAAAATGATTATTCCAAAAATAGGTGGATGCTTATAAAACACGCAGATTTTCATCCTATGATTGATTCGGGAAATTTTCCAACAGTTAACAGTCGGGTAACTTCTATGTTTTTGTCGTTCCTCTGCCGTCATCATCTCAAATAAAAATTGATTATTTAGAGAAAAAGTTTTGTGCGTCTATTGCGTGTATAAAAACAAACTACAAATATTTAAAATTGATTGTTACGAGTATAAGTTTCGTGTTTCACTACCTATTTCCAATAGAGGATTCTACCATATGCTAATGAGTATTTCATGAAAAACTAAATGATTTAAAGCTTTATATTCATCAAGAGTGTGGGTGTAAGTCTTTCCTTCACCGATTCATACCAATACGCACACGCACACGCACACCCACAGTCATCCTGTTTAAATAGATATGGAAAAAATCTCAACATAAGTAATATTATTATGAAGTAAGTCAAAATATAAATCATTGTCATAGGTTGAATGAGCGTGTATAATTCAATCATATTTTAAATATAACTCAACTGAATTTAAAGAAAGTCCGTGATGTGCCTCTTCACGTTCAATTGATCTTCATCAATGATAATATTATTTACAATCAAAATTTCATCAACATATTTACAATGAATTCAAGACTTGATCTAATAAAAGTGAATGGATCTATTTCGAAGCCTTCACTATGTTATTACTTTGAAAATTTGAAATCCTTATCGTATTTTAATATGACTTCTTCAATTTTAGATATTTTAATCACAAAATCGTTTAAATCGAAGGATAATCATTCTTTGCTCATTTATTAGGGTATCAATCTACTTTAATTAGTTTTCATATATTCTAAAAATATTTTTTTATTTATATATTAACTAACAAAAAATAATTAAAATAATGGTAGACATCAATGCAAGAAATAAACATATGCTTGATAGAAAATATATTTGTCCTGTATGTTCATTGATATTACGAGAGCCTGTACAATTGACTGAATGTGGTGATCGACTATGTCAAACATGTTTAAATGCTGAACAAGAGTAAGTTTCATTATCCATTTGAAGTATGAGTATTATTCTTCATTGTTCTTTTTCAAGAACGACAATTAAATGTCGGCAATGTCAAGCAGAGATATCACGAATTGAAGTAAAATATCCTTTCATAATCAAAGAGAAAATATATTTCTTCTGTGCAGATGATGCTTGATCAAGGTTTCACAAATGAAATGAAATCTTCTATCTTTTCTTGTTTCAAAGAAACATCTCGATCAATTTCATTCAAATCTAAACTGTGAATATTGTGGTGAACATTTCAACTCAGTTGATAAATTCAATGAACATAAACTCTTCGAATGTTCAAAACTGATTGTTGAATGTATATTGAAAGACCTTGACAGTAATGAACGAGTATGAGTATTTTTTAGATGCATTTAACATCGAAAAATTCATGTTCTTAAGTTTATTCGTACCAAAAAGGAGAATCATTATTTGATTGAACAGTATCAACAGGCCATATTTAAACTTATTCGTCAAATTTCATCACAATTCAATGATAGACAAATGAATATTAATCTTCCTCGAACAACAACTACTGGAGCTTGTATTCCTGCTACAGCTCAATTTGAAGAAGTTCATGAAATGTTGAATATCTTTGCAGGTGGCATCGAAGCATTGGTCAATAATGAACAACGTCTAAGTAATGAATCATTCCAAATGCAAATTACACTTACAATATTGAAAGAAGAATCATCGAAATTAAAATAATCTGTTGAAGAATCAAATGCATTTTTGCAGGGAGTGAAACAGAATCAAGACTTTGTATCCTTGCAAGAAAAAATCAATGATTTGCAATATGTTTCATATGGTGAAACATTGGTTTGGAAAATAAAAAACTTTCATGAGAAAATAAGTAAGTTGAACAATTAGTCTTATGCTTGAAGATAGAAATCAAAATATGCTATCGACAAGATAATCAAAGAAAAAGATGTTCTTCGTTTTCTATAACATTATTGAATAACGCATAAACGATTCAACGTTACATTCAACATAGTATATTGTCACGCATCAATACAATGAATGAGTAAGCTATCGATGAATTGATGGAAGCAATTATCAATTCTATCGATCGGCTAAATTTCTTTATACTTGCAGCTACTCTTCTTCATCGATTTTTTGTGGAACTCATATATTTTACTAAGGAAAATAGTGAGTGTAAGTTGTATGGCAAGGTTTTTCGCTCGAACATCCGAATCCTAAAGTAGTAACCCGAGTCAATGGGTGACAATGAGAGTATTGGTCGATGATTTTTAACGCTTCTGACGGTCATAGCAATGCTGGCAAAGGTGCTCGCAATAGACTTTAGCAACCGAAATTATGATTAGTGAATACGTTTCCAAAGCAATCCAAGACAGCAGACTTCTTTCCTATAATTTCTTAGTAAGAAAAAAAAGATATTGATCGGCATTAACAATAAGGCTTAGATTGTTCGAGAATGTTTCAAAACTTTACTTGAAATTGTAATAGTATCAATACTTTTCTGAGTATTCTAGATCGTGCAATTTTTTTAATTTTTATGCAGATTTCCGATTATATTCAAGATTTACTTGACCTATTTGACATTAATGTAATGAAGCTGAAAAAAAACATATGAGTTTCCCATATTTGCTTCAAAGAGACTGCACTGACAAGGGTTTAAGCTTAATTTCTAGTTGATGCACAATCTGAAAGGCAAACATCAATTTATATTCACCTCCATTCTATTCATCACCTACTAGCTATAAAATGAGAGCTCGTCTTTATTTAAATGGTGATGATTCAACTACAAAGTCTCAGTTTGTTTATACGATCAAACACCTGCACAACGACATATTATCGATTCATTTCGACCAAACATAAGGTCGAATAGTTTTCAACGACCTCGATCGGATATGAATATAGCCCAGTGGAATACCTAAATTTTTCCCATTGAATATGATTAGATAGGATGGAAATTCATATGTCCGAGACGACACAATGTTCATCAAAATTATAGTTGATTTTGAAGAAATACAGAAAAGCTTATTGCCGTATGCTTTGAGTCTCAATCCTGGCCTACTAATGCATATTCAACAAGCGATGATAAAGCAAGAAGCGGAGCAAAGATCTCAACAACAGTCTGGGAAGCAAGTCGAGCTACCCCGAAAGTAATCTACCGTTGAATATATATCAAGTACTGCATCAATAATCAAGAATCTCCTATTTTGAACTTCTATTACCTTATCAAGTATTGAAGCAATAATCCAGAGTATCCGATTTTGAAGTCATCACATCTTTTTATTATTCAAAATATAAATGATCTGCTACTTTAACCTGCTCTTTTCTTTTAATAATCAAGGAAATTTTATCAATTTTCTATAAAAAATATATTGAAATCATTGATTGTCTGATAATAGACAATTCTACTGGAAGGAATTTTATTTTAAAGAGCCATTATTCAGATAGTTTTTAGACAATTATTTAAACAATAACAAATAGATCTTATTTGATCGATATCACACGAGGATAGAGACTGGCTTCTAAACGATAAGCTTATACATTGTTGTTGACATTCAACATTTGTATATATTTTTGTGAGAAAAATTTCTTTTTACTCTTTACATGCAATGAAGTATTGTATTCGATTCAATAACATTTTAAGTCTGATGAAAACGTAGCAGTGTCATATTATTGACTGACGTCTCATATTGAATATTGAATTAATAGCACTTACGAGGAAAGTCCCCAACTGTTCAATCGCTTTTGAGTCGAAACCATGCGTGTCATGTTGGTCCTAATGAGCTATGAATACCCTGAAAAGAGTTCGGGCTGCTAGCTTATTATTGTTGAGATATTATATTTTTATGGTATTTTTAATTAAGTACAATGCCGTGGTCTTCCTCAGGAGCCAGAAAAACTGAATTTTAAGTTTTGACTTCAAACTTTGCACAGAAACAGACGTCAGTGAGAGTAGTTTATTGTGAAAGTTTCAGGCCTTTTGGTCATTCCTATCCTAAGATACAGCTAAAAAGGGTGTTTTTACACTGCTCATATATCCCCGACAGGTTCCAATGTTCTTATTTCAGAATAGGAACAACGAAAAGATCTGAAACTTTCACAATAAGCTACTCTCATTGAGGTCTGCTTCTGTGCCAAATTCGAAGTCGAAATTCAAAACTCAGTTCTGCTGGTGCTTCTGAGGGGAACCACGGCATTCTGCTTAACGAAATCGTAAAAATGTAGTATCTCGACAGTAATAAACTAGCAGCTCGAACTCTTTTCAGGGTATTCATAGCTCATTAGGACCTACATGATGCACATGGTTTCGACTCAAAAGCGATTGAACAATTGGGAAGCTTCCCTCGTTAGTTGAATCAGAACTTTACTTTCAATGATTCGCCTTAAATATATGAATAAATATAAATGTAAGAAAGACAAACTCTGGATTCTTATCATTCACTTACGTTTACTTTGGATATATAAAGAACACTTAATCCTTTTTGATCTAAACTCGCAGGGATATGATAAAGAATATTAATTGTTGAAAATTCTTCTTACAAATTTTTTCCTTTTCAGTACTTACCACTTAATGTTGATATTATTGAACGAATGACAATTTATTTAGTGTGACGAATCCGGGGAATAACTCTATTGCTACTGTCGATAATGATATTTATTTGAACTACTTCATCACTCCACTTGTATCAATATTAATACGAACACATGCTTATATACTAGTCACACAAGGAAAAAGAAAGAAAAACACAGTTTGCCAAGGTCAACATTATGAATCAATCATGTTGAGAAAAGAAGAGAAGAGAAGTGAAGTGTACCGGTGAATACTCTGCCTTTATAAATAGCACAAAAAAATAATAAAATCAAATTTTTCATGATGATATATTTTATGAAAACGTTGTGTATACTTCTTACCGGAAGTATTATGGTTAATCATATCTGAGTCTAAGAGTATTGGTAAATTGAAGGCTCATATTCCCACTTTTTGACTCTTTTGACTCTTCTTCCTCCCTAGCATAAGCAGATATATACTCAATGTGAAAGTTTCAGTAATTCTCTTCTCTGCATGTGAAAATTTCAGAATTTCTTGTTTTTCTTGGGTGTGCAGGCGTGGGTGTGGGTGCCTGAAGCTTTTGTTTAAACCCACACCCGCCATTTCGATTTTTAAATTTATATTAGACTATCTTAAAAGATTGGTTTTTCTTATAAGATTTAGATAAAAAAATAAACCAATCTTTGTTCAAAATATTTTTTTTTGTATGTAAATATTTTTGAAGTTCAAGTTCAAATGAACAAGCTAAATGTTATTCTTTTCCCTCTTGTTTATTGAGAGATAAGATGAGACGTCAAATCATATAAAAGTATCTATTTAAATTGAAAAATGAATTAAAGTAAAAATTATCGACTTTTGTATTGTCTGAAAGGCAAATTGTCTCATGTTCCTGATAGTGTAAGTTTTATTTATTTCAACATGAAATTAAATGCAACAACATCTTTCTAGAACAATCGTGCTCTTTTAACTATCAGCAATCGAATTATCGAATGGAGATACAATGAAATGTCTCCTTACTAGTCATTGTCTAATTTTGAACGATTCCGATCACGTCACATTATACAGAAATCAATATCGATTTGTGCACTCCATATGAAATGAATATCATTGAATAACTATGAGTTTTTTTTTGCTTCTTTGTCGTCACTCATCGTCTTATCTTTCAGTGAATATTTTATTGTTGTTGTGTGCAGTCCTTCTCATAGAGTACTTATTTGATCAGAAGTTATAAAAATACGAAAAAAAAAGACAAACACATATAGTAATGGAAGATAAGGGTCTGACATGCTGCAAAAGTAAGATACAAATCATTCAAAAAAAAACAACCCAACGGTATAAGATACAGAAAACATTCTAATCAACAACTACACATTATTCAAACTACGAAGAACTTGGTGACTTTAATAATTTAATCCTAGTAAGTAATTTCTTAGGAAAGTTCGACATACAAAAGAAATTATATTGACTGTTATTTACTTTGAGCAAAGAAACTGTGAATATTTTACTTCTTCTTTTTTCCCATTCTATTCATTGATTTTCAGTTATTAAAGACATAAGAAGGCAAAAATGAATATAATGCGCTGGCGACTTTAATAAGACTATGTATAAAGAGGACACGAAAACAATGGCAAAATTTGAATGTTGGTAAGAGTAACAGTGAAAAAGCTTCCAATCACAGCAAAATCCGTTACAGTCAGGTCAGGAAGCTTCGCTTCACTCACTGATATAACAAAGTTAGAGGACCCACCTTAACCACTCACTGTAATATGAAACATAAAGAGTCAATCATTTCGAGCCACAAGACAATGCGCAAATCATTGACGAAAGAAATTTGTTCTCAACAACTATGAGTAAAAATCAGATCGAAAAACTTTGCGTCACATGTCGTGTTTCGAAGTCAGTGTACAATATTTCGTGCCTTTCATCAAATTGGCAGGGAGGCGGCGAAAACTTCAGGTTCACAGAGAAATTCATCGAAATGACTCCATCAAGCTTCGGATGATAGCGAAATCTGTAAGGATGAATGCTAAAAACGCCACCACGTATGCGAATCTTTGAGAGTCACGGAGAAAAACTTCTGCTTTCACAAACGCTGATGATGGTAACGGTACGGGAGCCGCAATTATTCAGTTATTTATCCGGATATCAGCGAAAAGTCTTAAATGATACAGAATATCATGAG